AGTTCCTGCCTGATTGATGCTCGAGTCGATGTCATACTGCATCGCTAATACCGCCCATCTGACCATGATCAATAACGCTGCAATGCGCAGGCAATAAATGCAGCTGTCCATATTAAAGTGATTCGTTGTACATATTCCCATCTCCCTCTGGGCTCACACCAGCATTCCAGAATGATCACTGTTGATTCTCATCGTGTAGCGAGCGAGATCACGCCTCTGGTCCCTGTAGGCGTCTTGAAAAAGCCCAAAACCCCTCTTCCCAAATTCCAGATAGGCATACTTATGATGCTACACGTTACAGAACCGATCGCTTCGATGTCTATATTCCCGTACATCAACCAGGTATGACTTTACAGTAGCATCGCATTGTTTATTTTTGACACTGTTTCACCCCTATCAGCTTATTAGAGAGCTCGGAATCACTGGAGGCGATGATGCAGCTGTAGGATATTATGCTGGAATAATTGTAGGCGTCAAGATTACGACTCCCAAGAATCATGATTCCCTCATACTAACATACTTGATTTACAGGAATCTCTATTCTTTGTCATGCAGTCACTGACAGTGCTAAAGTGGAGCCGGTTGTCCGACCGCATTGGACGCAAACCAGTGTTATCGATCGGACTATTAGGAACTTGCATTTCGATGCTATGTTTCGGCCTCTCGACGACCCTCTGGAGCCTTGTGGTCAGGTATGTCTTCAGCTGAAGCAGGAAGCATTATCCTGACATGGTTTCTTTGTTTCTCTAGCCGTTGCATGTGTGGTGTGCTGAATGGCAACGCTGGAGTCTCGAAAACCGTGATGGCGGAATTGACAGACTCCACAAATATGGCTCAAGGATTCATCTTGATTCAGGTTTTGTGGAAGGTTGGAACATTTGTTGGGTAAGTCAAAGCGTTAACTATGGGGGTATCCAATGACGGATTCCACATGCTAGCCCTTTAATGGGCGGAGTACTTGCGCATCCACAAGATAGCTGGCCCGGTTTATTCGCCTCCTCATTTTGGAGAAAATATCCATACTTTCTGCCTTGTGCGGTAGCTGCTGGTTTTGTTGTCCTGGCCTATTTCATGCTATTCTTTTTCTTAGAAGAAGTAAGTTCTAAAAAAACTTATAGCGCACGTTACTTACAATTGGCAGACATTATCAACCAAGCGTCGACCAAAGACGAGCGTCACGGGCGGAGATGACGTTGACGATCGAGAAGTGCTTGCGCAAAAATCCATGGCAGATATGCCCATGCGATCTCTGCTCACGCCTACCATTGTCATCCCAATCGTAAACTACGCCATGGTCTGTATCCTTGATATTTCGTTGAGGACTCTGACGCCGCTGTTCTTTTCCACGCCTATGCATCTCGGTGGCCTTGGTCTTGGCCCTTCTTCTATTGGCTTATGGCTGGCGTTGTTTGGGATTATGGACGGCCTCTTACAGGCTCTGTTCTTCGCCAAAATTGTTGATTGGGTTGGCCCAAAGCGTCTCTTCTGTGTGGCAGCGTCGTGCTTCGTACCAGTCATGCTTATGTTTCCAATGATGTCGTGGCTTGTACAGACAAGGGGGATAGTTGATCATGCAATCACGTTTGCATTGCTTGGCCAACTAGTTCTGACCGTTATTTGGGGTTTGGCATTTGGTGCGCATTATGGTGATACTGACCTCCTATTACGAATAACCAACCTTTATTACAGGGCCTATTTTCATGTTCATCACGGCTTCTGCTCCGGCAAAGAATATCCTTGGTGCTATCAATGGTCTTGGTCAGACCTCCGCGTCAGTGGCTCGTGCCATTTGGCCCGTCTTAGCGACTTCGCTATTTGCACTTTCAAAAGAACATAATCTTCTGAATGGAAATGCTGTATTTTTCATCTTGATTGTGCTGGCTGGCGTCGCATTTGCCAGATGAGATGCAAGTTAGGGATGAGTAAGAGTCCGGCCCTCTCGAGATTTAGTTGATGTATCAATATCCGAAATTCCAATGGGTGCCTCGAGTGAATAACCTGTAGTACGTTATCAAACATCATGTCGATTTATGCAATGAGACCCATCACCGGATTGGTGAACAATGGCACTCCAGCTGGGTTCTCTAGAATATTACATGCTTTTGTCGCAAGGTACTAAAGTACTAGGGGCGGCTACGCGTTCAAGGGCAACATTCAATCATTGGCCTTGGACGGAGAACAAGTTCGCGAAGCTTACAGACATCAATATTCAAAGCACCAGACCCCAACCCCAACCATTACTTCACAAATTCAGCCAATGAAGTCGTTTATACGGTAAGAACAATATTTCAATCCGTAGAATGATTCATTGCACATGCACGTCTGACGATACTCGTTACTCGACAAGTCAGTGATAACTATACAACATGGCCGACGGCTACTCTACACAGCAGGAGGCTTTGCACCAGGTTGGAAGGTGTACGTCATATGGCACTTGCCACAGTATTGACGATCTGTGTGGAAAGCCATCTGACAAGGATCATCAGCCCCACACAACAGGTTTAAATCGAGTTAACACTTACGAAGACACCAGCACCGCACTCAGCGTTGGGGCACTCGCGGCGAAGACGCTTGATCTTCCCGTCCGAGTCCACTTTGTAGTATTTCAGGATGGACATCTTGACCTTCTTGCGCTTGTGCTTGATCTTTTTAGGGGTCTAATATAGGATGATAAGCTTAACATTTCGATGAAGGATATTCAATGGTACCCACGTTGTAGGTCTTTTTCTTGCGCTTCTTAGCACCACCACGGAGGCGAAGAACCAAGTGAAGAGTGGACTCCTTCTGAATGTTGTAGTCGCTAAGAGTACGACCATCCTCGAGCTGCTTTCCAGCGAAGATCAGGCGCTGCTGGTCGGGGGGAATGCTAAGACAGTGATAAGGATCGATAATACGTATGTGCAATAGAACCTTACCCCTCCTTGTCCTGGATCTTGGCTTTGACATTGTCGATGGTGTCTGAAGACTCGACTTCAAGAGTGATAGTTTTGCCCGTGAGGCTGATATCAATGTCAGGTGAGGCTACAGAAATTTAGTTCTGAACTGCACGCACGTCTTTACAAAGATTTGCATTTTGCTGGACGCTTCTGTCTGTCCAACGAATAATCGATGGAGTCGTTGACGAAAGCAAGAGCCGCGGTCGTAGTGGTCACAATTGTAGGATGGAAGGGATGATTAATGCCCGAAAACCTTAATCAATCTGATGATGGTCTGTGCGTGAGAATACTCTCGACTGACTAATCAAATTACTAATCTGCTCTCGACGCGTCGCGCTCATCGAATCCATAAATTTCATTGCTTTGAAACGCGTCATGACTAGGACTAGTGACGGCCAAATGGATGTTGACTCTACATCATCGCTTGACAAGGGTAAAGGAAAGGCTAAGGCTGCAGAGAGATATGAGCCGCGCGAGGATGATAATTTACCTTGGTTGCGTCTTCCATCTTTCCCCCTCGCGTCCTTGCTCAATACGCGATAGGGTAGAGAAGTATCGACCAGTCACACTCGACGATGTGGTTTCACACAAGGATATTACAACGACAAGTTGAGTCCCTCCTGGCTTGAGCAATACATACGCTGAGATCCACTCAGTTGTGAAATTCATTGACAAGAACCGCTTGCCTCACCTTCTATTCTACGGTCCACCTGGAACTGGGAAGACGTCCACAATTCTTGCAGTGGCGAGACGGATTTATGGAGCAGAATACAAGAAACAAATACTGGAGGTGGAGTCCCCCTGGATCTGTACAGAGCAATGCTAATCTTGTTCAGCTCAATGCATCGGATGACAGAGGTATAGATGTAGTGCGCGAACAGATCAAGCAATTTGCAGAGACCCGAACATTGTTTTCGAAAGGTTTCAAGCTTATTATCCTCGATGAGGCCGACATGATGACACAGCAAGCTCAAGCTGCCCTACGTCGTGTCATTGAACAATACACCAAGAACGTGCGGTTTTGCATCATCTGCAATTACGTGAACAAGATCGCTCCAGCAATTCAGAGTCGATGTACTAGATTCCGTTTTTCGCCACTGCCAATTGCAGAGGTGGAGAAGCGCGTGAATGGTGTTGTGGAAGCTGAGAAGTATGTAGAGTCATTTCTAAAGTTGCTACTAAACACCCAACTTTGTAATAGGGTAAATCTGACTCAGGATGGAAAAAAGGCCCTTTTAAAACTCTCGAAAGGAGACATGCGGCGAGCTCTTAATGTCCTACAAGCATGTCACGCAGCATATAGCTCTATTGGAGAGACTGAAATTTATAACTGCACTGGAAACCCTCACCCGTCAGATATTGAAACCATCGTAAACTCCATGCTTTCCGATGAATTCACTACTTCTTACCAAAGTGAGTTCTTTCACATCGTGTTGTTAGTGCCTCACAAAACCTCCATCAGTGATCTCGGCCATGAAAACAGAACGTGGACTCGCACTGCAAGACTTGATATCGGGTACATACGAATACGTGGAAACGATTGAATTCAAGCCACAGGCTCGGGTATATTTACTTGACTTTCTGGCTACCACCGAGTATGTCTTGTTTATGTCCAGTTTTGTGACAAAAACTGATGTCTTTCTCATCAGGCATAGATTATCAACTGGCGGAAGTGAGAAGATGCAATTATCTGCTCTACTCGGAGCGTTCAAGAATGCTGTGGAGCTTTCTGCGAAGTAATACATCGTATAATTGAAGCACCTGACAATGACTTTCCGCAAGGTTTATTGTGTTTTACATTCGTAGTACTCTAGTAGATCGCCAAACTCTGAAATTGCCACTGATACGGTGTTCACAATCCGTCGGGTCACATACCCACGAGTTCCAAGGCTGTTTAAATTGCAATCTCTGCTGGCTACTTGTATAACTTGACACTTGGACTCTGAGTTGGAATGAATGAATATTTGGCCGCATCTACGCCCACATCAGCTCTGCGACGAATCACGTGGTGAATTCTGATCACCTGACTCAGTAGCTAGTCGTGGAGGGAGCGTGTAGAATTAGTGTAGACTTCCTCTCCTGATTTCGACGCCGGTTGGACGTATGCCTTTTCCTCTCCCTGACCATCTCCCGCAGCAGCTCAACGTTTCATCGAATGTTCTTTCCAAGTTCGACTCTGTAACATTACAATCCCTGAATTCGTCTTTTGCATCCTCATGTAGGGCTGAGCTTGATGAATCCATCCGATTGACTAAGGTATTCTCCTGTAATTGATATGAGTTCTCCGTGGGGTAATGGTTTGGAATAGACAAAAATTCATGACAGAATATGTGCAGATTCTTCTAACTTCCAAAGACAGCTGTCTTTGGCAAAGTCTCTCAAAGAACGACTGGACACGCTTTCCGGACATGTCCAAGTCTCAAGTGTTACACTTTCGGACTCTAAGGCGTGTGTTTGTTCTATTATGCGTTTTAAGACGCCTCGCTAACACATCACTAGTCCGGTCTAGTTCCGGTCTTGCTTGAAGCTTTGGAAGCTCACCAATTACTCGCCCAAGAGTCCTTGGATGCAGATGTCTTGAGTGATTCTCTTTCGCACCTTTATGAATGTAGAGCACAGCTGGATGCGCTGCAGAAGCTCGTTGACGTAGGGGATCTGCCTCCGGCTGTAGTTGCGTGTCATGCTTTGAGTTCCTTGCTGGTTTCCGTTCCCGGACCACTCAAAGACGCATCGGTAGTATCTGAAATGCAGGTAAGAGACTAACATCCTTCCGTTCTGTCTTAACTTGCTTGCTTGTAGGCTCGGCTGCGTGTGCTTAGCAATCGTGTGGAAGAGCTGCTCAGCGACGCTTACACTAAGAGTGTTGTTGTGAACGCGTCAGAAGTTATCATCAAACCATTTGTGCTGAGTGAGTGACAGAACATCATGGTGGGGGGTATCTCAAGCAGTTTTCAGTGCCTCGGTCACTGAAGCCCTTACCCCTTTCGTCTGTCCTCTCATCGATCAGCTCCGCATCACTGGCATCGCATCTTCTACCCTGAGGAGGGATATTCTAACGCACTACATCGAGTGTTCTTTGACCAGCCGACGTCACTTACAGTTAGCACTATGAAGGATAAGTCTGGCGCTTTGATGCACGTCCTTGGCCGATTCCCTTCGTCACCAAATACCACTGACACAGGTTCTCCACTTACCAACGTATCCACCGCCCTCGACTTCTTACACAAACAACTATTTCCCGCCCTCCCATCGACGCACAAACACAGTTTTTCGCGAAGTCTTAGCAAACCCATATCTACTGCAGTCCTGACCCGTTTGCTTATTCCTGGTCTGCCTTCACAGCTCGAAGCTCTGCCTACTTTTTTTACAAATTGCAAACAAGGCAGTGGATTTAGAGGACAAGTACATCGTTGGGATGCTTGATGCGTCTAGCGAGAGCGAAATCAAAGCTTGGGTCAACAATGTCTGTACTCATTATGAGCGACAACGGCGGTCACACATTCTCGATTCTACTCGCAAACTTATCATTCAAAGCATATCTTCTGAGCCAACATTCTATGCCCAGTTACCTCTTTCACAAGAAACCTCTGACAAGGCTGGACCCGCGCCTGCAGACGAAGGCGATGCATGGGGACTTGATGACGACGGCCAGAGTTTCAATACAGGATCCTCGAGGTCTGCGCCAGAAGAGGAGAATGTCTGGGGCTTTGACGATGATCTGGAGGAGAAAAGGAAACTCAACAAGCTGAACCTGTGGAAGTAGTTGAGGAAGACCCGGGGGATGCGTGGGGCTGGAATGATGAAGAGCCCGCACCTGAAGAACTAGTGCAAACAGAAGACCTGTGGATGACCCATGGGGTGAAGAACCTGCCCTATCGGAGGTTACTCCTGCTGTGCGGACAGTACCTGTCTCATCCCAACGCCCGTCTGCGAACTCTGGACTTGCGACGCAAAGGATCTCTCGCCCCTTAAACAGTACCTCTCAGCATCCTCCTAACTCAGGCCCGTAACCGAGCCATATTTGGTATCTACTCTTGCGAAGTCAATCATTCGCACGGTCGAGGACGCGTTGCACGAAGGACAAGGACTATCATCTTCGGGTATCTTTCCCACCTCACCAACATCCAAAACGACGCCCGGGATACTCATCATGCAGTCCGGAGCACTGGTGTTAGATTTATATCGTGCAGTGCATCCTATCGTCGCTGCAGCACGACTCGTTCGTCCTGGTGATGTCATGAAATTCTCCAACAACTGCTGTTGGCTTGCAGAGGAGGTTGGTCGCTTGGTTACACACGAGCGAGAGCACTTGTTGTAAAAGACAAGTTAGAGGAATGCAAGAGTGTCTTGCAGGTGTTAGCCGACAGTTGGTATCAAGATGGCATTGTGAGTTCTCGATCTTTGCCGTTGATGGTATTGAGTAGTCACGCATGTATTGGAACAGGACAGGCAACGGACGGCCCTGCGTGACATTCTAGCAGGTGCGAAGGGCTTCACAGACACGTCAGACCAGGATCGGTATGATGACTGTGAGATGGCCATTTCCAGTGTCGTTCGCGAGGTCCGAAGCGCCGCGAACGCATGGAAGGTGCGAATGAAGCGCATTTTATGATGTTGAAAGCAGCTCATTGTGCTTACTGTAGCCTGTCCTCCCTAAGAGCAAGTATACACTGCCGTGGGAGCAATAGTCGAAGTTTCATTGCAGCGGATCCTTGAGAACATACTTGCAATTCCGGATATCCTGAGGTGGAGTCGCACAAACTGAGCGAGTTATGCAGAATATTGGCTGCTCTTGAAGGGCTCTTCGTTGAAGACTTCAGCGAGGTATGCTTGCTGTACTTTTTCAAAATAGTTAACTTATTAATCCCCAGTCATCTTTCGTGGTGTCATACGTTCCGTCGTGGTTGAAATTCTCATATCTATCTGAACTCCTGGTATATCTATTCGAAGTCGGGTTATTCGATTAGTATCTCATCGTGCCTCTTTTCCAGGAAGCTTCCATGGCTGATCTCACATATCTTTTCGAGGAAGGAGCTTTGGTGGATTTTGAGGTGGACGAGTTGGTGAAACTTGTACGTGCCTTGTTTGCAGACACACCACTGAGGACGAAGACTCTGACAAAATCATGGGTGGACATCCAGTCCGGTGATCACGTATTTATACTACTGCAATAGTTGCAGATTATCGGGTGTTTGGCGGCAGAGGTTAGTACGTAGCCAGTCGTATTATGATTGAAACCCATGCAGTTATACTAAACATTGCACTGGTACGATATACATGAGCTAATTTGCTAAGAGATGTACGAATGGGCAAAAGAGAAGACATTATCCAGGACAGCGATGCATACGCATATTCCACTGGTTGCCTGGCCAATGAGG